CTGTCATGACTGACACGGACACGGAAACTGCATTGATAGACTTTTCCCCTTAACACACACACACACACACACACACACACACACACACACACACGCACACGCACACGCGCACGCGCGTGTGTGTGTGTGCCCGTGAGAGAAAGATTATATAGTGCAGCAATATGGAAATAAATACAGGGTGTAGTATAGTATAGTAGGCCACTTGTATTCAAGGATACCCGTCTACTAGCGCGGCTAGCCAATCCCTATTGCAGACGCTTGCTCAGGAGCATTTGTGTTTATTCAACACCCACAGAGCTCACCTATGGTGTATACTGCAACTATGCTAAGCAGACCTTAGTTACAGTTTTTGGGAGAGAGCGTGTTATCTACCGTGATCGACAATTTGAATAAGGCCAGCATGCTCAAGCCCTCAAATACAGGGTGTATGAAAAAATATCTATACACACGTTTACAATGTATAGATCTAGTAAACTTACTTTCTTTTAAGATTTACCCGTTATTATTACTTATTTAATTATGTAATCCTGGCTTAGCTTTGAACAACAACAAAAAAAGTCCATCGTGGAATCCTACTGGACTTACGAAAATTCACTTGAAGTTCAAAGGCAGTAGCCATGAGAGTTTCATTTAGATCCACCCACGTGACTTACAATCTCAGGAATTAGAGACAAGTTTGAAACTGACGGTACACGATGGAAAAAAAACCTCGGATAGCACAACTTTTAAGTCTATCAAAACAAATTGTTACCCGAGGAAAAAAATTGGAAAAAAAAAGGAACAAGAAAAATCCGAACAGGGCGAAAGAAATCGTCCAGTGGCTTAAGTTTTTAGCACCCCCCCAAAAAAAAACTCCAAGCTAGTAATAAAGCTAAAAGGTAGAGTGCTCAATACGGTAAGTAGAGCAGGAATAAATTTTAGCCAGCTTACCCTGAAGATCCGTTTAGTTGAAACCTAGGTAGGTTGTTCCTGGCTCGTTAGGATTTATTTAATTTATTCATTTATACATACATACATATATATTATGAAATGGACAAAGTCCGACAATTGTTTTAAGACATTTTTTATGTTGATACATTCTTTTTTATAGATACAAATATTTAAGTAAATGCTCTGTTTTATAATAAACAGTATTAAACAACATTTACCAGAGGATGCATATTTTCTGTGAAAATTTCTCAGACATTTAGAGAGGAACGAATCATGCCGAGCTTCTCGGGTTGACGGTCGAATTATCTGCCTCTGAGCATAGAGGAACCGGACGAGGCTACGCCGAAATGCAGAGTCTCGTTCGGGGAGGTTGACCAACCCGATCCGGGTTCTACGGGCATTTTTTGGTTGAGCCTACGGGCTCGGGAAACCCACGTTAAACTCGGCCTTGTGCCACATGCAACCCTCGTGGGGGGGGGCTAGATACCGAATCGTGTCGAGCCGATAGTAGTTCACTCCAAACCAGACTGACAGTCATACTAACACCTTCCACATCTTGTATTATTATTTCGTGTAATATACCTTCGTTATGTCTACTCTTGTGTTCGTGTTGTTCTTCCTTGGTCCTAACCTGGACCATAACAGAAATGTAAAGGGATATCGTGTTTATGCTTGGGTTCCATTCGCAAACTGTACCATTTTATAGATGTTATATACAAATTAAATAGCCCGTATTCCAAAATCCGAAAAAATCTGAAAACCGAAGCACTCCCAAGAATTTCGGATAAAGGATTCCAAACTTGTAGGATAGGCAATTATTTTTTCTTCACTTACCGAGTGTGGAAAGAAACACCTTATTTGAATTGAAACTGTAACTTTTTTAACGTATGCGAATATTTTATAATCAAAATAGGGGGTCGTATTATACACAGGTTATTTTTTTAAGAGTTTAAAAATCATGCATTTTCGGATATCCGCTGTACTATACACAGATAATTTTCTGGAGGGGTTAAAATTCATGCAAAAAATCTTCAGTGCTGGCACACAGCATATCCACAAATATATACGGTATATGGGTTGATTTTCATAAAACACGGTTTATTTTGAATATCATTACTAAAGTATAATACTGTGTTAAAATTCTACTTGAGCCCTGACGCTGTTCCACCAGGGTTTATAATCGTTTGGGCATATCCTCGACTGACTTAATTACATAATTTCACTTACCTTTTGTCCATTTTCTTCCAATTGGGATGTCCAAGGGCAACTGTGAGTATCTACCACAGCTCCCGTACTCATCAGCTTAGAATGACAATTTCTGATAGGTTCTGGCATCTACTGAAGCACGAATTCCATCAACACAATGCCGCCATCTTTGCTCTTGTACCACGGTCTGTCATACTTCATAACGAGACGCTAGCTGAACACGCTCATACAGTGACAGGGGTTGTACCATTGTGGGTAACACTTGTCAATCTGAAATAAAAACAGAAATTAGCAATGAAGATCTACCTCTTTAAAAATCACAGTTTGTTTTCTTCATGCAAGTGGGATGATATTAACAAAAGTTATAATTAATTTTCAACAGGGAGTTTCTTTGCACAAAGAAGTATTCCACAATCTAGTAATAATGTCTGATTTGAACTAATTAAGGAGTAATCAAATATTTGCTGACCAAAATCATCCAGATGTTAAGCTTATTACTGTCCAAAACAAGGAATCAGAATAAAATAAACTGCAGTGGATCAAAATCAAGTCATGATCCAAGAAATTATATATATGTTCCACTGGATCGCCGGCTATCTCTGTGGATAAAAAAATATAGTGGTGCCCGTGAATATCTAACGGTTTTACTATTTGGATTGACGAATTTAGGTAAAAAAAGTCACAGTTAAAAAAGTCACGGAAAAAGTCACAGGAAAAATGTAACTGGAAAAAGTCACAGTAGAAGAATAAACAGGACAATGTTTGCATGTTTCTGCCTCTTTTTTTAATAGACTTTTTTTTTTATCATAACCTTAGTATCCTTAACCCCTAAACTCTAACCTTCGTATCACTAGCCCTAACGTCTAACCATAAGCCTAACCCTGAAGACAGATTGAATAGTGGCAATTATGGATATCAGAGCTGTTGTGGATCAGCTTGGATTTAGCGAAAAATAATTTTGACACCTCCTACCGTGGAAATTATTGACAGTAATACGCTTGGTTCAGAAATCTGCTACAATGAGTTCATGTATACTAAAAATGTCACTCGCAAAACCAACTTGTGACTTTTTCGCCTAGCCAAAACTGTAACTTTTTTCTATGACTTTCTTCAGTGAAATCTTTTTCATGTTAGTCTATTACCGGCCACGGAATTTTCTGGTGAATCATAATTCTTAATTGAATAATTGAATGCGACTCCAAAATACTCGTGGAAATTCCCTGTGGTAACATTAAATATTTGAGCTTAACAAACAGAATATTGCAATAACAGTCATAAGCGTGAATGCAGTTGGTTTTTAAAGAAGAGGGTACAAATGAAAATATTTGAAAGTGACAACTTATATTTCATGAAAACAGATGATAAACACACAAGCGTTATATCCTCCTTCAACTTCTCTATCTTTTTCTATATGTCTTTTTTGCTTCTTATATTTTTCTTTCTTTTTTTCTCGTTCTTTCTTTTTTTCTTTCTTTATTTCTTTCTTTTTCTCTCTTTCTTTCTGTCTTTCTTTATATAACACTCTCTTTTCTTTCTTTCTTTTTCTCGGTTTCTTTCTTTCTGTCTTTTTAATATAATACTCTCTTTTCTTTCTTTCTTTCTTTCTTTCTTTTTCTCTCTTACTTTCTTTCTGTCTTTCTTTATATAATACTCTCTTTTCTTTCTTTCTTTCTTTCTTTCTGTCTTTCTTTCTTTCTTTCTTTTTCTCTCTTACTTTCTTTCTGTCTTTCTTTATATAATACTCTCTTTTCTTACTTTTTTCTTTCTTTCTTTTTCTCTCTTACATTCTTTCTGTCGTTCTTTATATAATACTCTCTTTTCTTTCTTTCGTTTTTCGCTCTCTCTCTCTTTCTGTCTTTCTTTATATAACGCTGTCTTTCTTTCTTTCGTTTCTCTCTTTCTTTCGTTTCTCTCTTTCTTTCTTTCTGTCTTTCTTTATATAATACTCTCTTTCTTTCTTCCTTTCTTTCTTTTTCTCTCTTACTTTCTTTTTGTCTTTCTTTATATAATACTCTCTTTCTTTCTTTTTCTCTGTTTCTTTCTTTCTGTCTTTTTTTTATATAATACTTTCTTTTATTTATTTCTTTCGTTTCTCTCTTTCTTTCTTTCTTTCTGTCTGTCTTTAATACTTTCTTTTCTTTCTTTCTTTCTTTTTCTATCTCTCTCTCTTTCTGTCTTTCTTTATATAATACTCTCTTTCTTTCGTTTCTCTCTTTCTTTCTTTCTTTCTGTCTTTCTTTATATAATACTCTTTTTTCTTTCTTTCTTTCGTTTCTCTCTCTCTCTTTCTGTCTTTCTTTATATAATACTCTCTTTTCTTTCTTTCCTTCATTTCTCTCTTTCTTTCTTTGAAATAAAACTGCGTCTCTCTTTACTCGTGATCTAACCGGAATAGTTAATTATTTATCAGGTGGTGGCTGGGTGTATCATATGCGCTAAATAACCAGCTCGCTTTCATTTCTTTTATTTTTTGTTTTGCAACATCTCAACCCTTTGCAGGTGAATCAATGTCGAAATCTCAATATTTTGTGCGTAATTTTATTTTGGGAGATAATAATAGTATAGGGATACAAGTCTTACTAATTAACCTATAGCTAGGGGGAGAAGAGGAGGATGCATACCTTTCCCGATGGGATTTGCCCGTAAGTGAATATAATGAACCCCAACTGAAATTGGAACTCGGCTCTCCGATTGACAATTCCGAGTCATTATCCATTACGCCACCTGCACATCCAAGCTTACAGTACCTGATATTCACCCATTTAGGTATTGACCGAACTTGATGTTGCTTAACTTCGTTTATAATACGGGAACCGGTATTAGAACGTGATGTAGCCGCAATCTATATCACCTGCACATCCAAGCTTACAACACATGGTATTCCCAAGCGGTGACCCATCTAGGTACTGACCAGGCTCGACATTGCTTAACTTTGGTGATCGTCTGGGAACCTGTACTTCGCCGTGATGAGGCCGTA